TTCAAATTAGAATCTGGTTTATCTGTACTTGGATATTCACATAATTAGGAAGGTCGCTGAAGGTCGCCCTCTCAGTTTTTTTGTTTTGCTACACGAAAAGAAATTTGCGTATCTCAAGATGGGTCAGAAGTTCTTAAAGGTTGTACAAATATATAGTTATGAAATAAACTGTCATAACAGTTTTTGAACAAAAATGAATCCCAAAGATATGATTTTGATTTATTTACTTATTTTCCAGAAGGGGACAAGTAAATGCTCAGATTGTGCATAACCGGTAAATGGCACTGAACCATATTGCATTACCGTTTGAGTTGAAAATTATTCAAACTGACTTATTCACAGCAAGAAAGCCGATATCTATCATAAATACTATTATTCAGTTATTTTAATCCACCTAAGAAGCTATTCAATATCATTTCTATTTCTATTAGGATTATGATCGTTGATACTGTTCAGTATAGCGCCTCTTGTCTGTGAAGATTTAAGTCATTATTTACCTTCTCCGCTAAACCCCTCGCAAACCCTTCCTCCACACACACACGTTTAAAGGAGTACACACACGTGTTTTTTTTTTTTTTTTTTTTTTTTTTTTTTTTTTTTTTTTTTTTTTTTTTTTTTTACGTTTTGTTTGTTATTTTTATTTACTAAATATCACGTTCTTCCCACTTAAACCATAAAATTGAATTCAACAGCAATATTACAAAGTATTTAAAATTAGCATATCTTTAGAATTTTCGAATCATAGTCTCGCGCTCTGGAGATTCCTCTCCCTCCGTACAGCATTGCCATAGCTCTCTTTGAAATCTTTGAGTTTATTAATCAAAAATTCGTTAAAATTTTACAAAATATGAAATAGATAATAGCACAAATTCCTAATTTAGGCTTCTAGAGCAGATAATCGAGTGGAGGGCTACGCTATTTAAAATTTGATGTTTCTAGGTACTTTGATAATGCGAGAAACATCACCTAAGAAGCACATTCATGCAAATTCTTCATTATTTAATTTCTTTAAATATAATGCAGTGCTGTAATATTTGGGAGCAACATTTTAAAAAGTGAAACGCCTTTTTATAGTTTACGACGCAAAATCCCAAAAGGAAATTAATAGCCCTTCTAGGCAAATTGTCCCTTTTGGGTACAACAACAAAAAAACAAAAACAAAAAAAAAAAAAAAAAAGCTCTTTTGCTTTATAACTTATTTTTGTGTAAGCTCTTTTGCTCACTTTTTAGAAGATTTCAGATAACTGTCTTGTGGAATTACGACTCATTGAATTAAGGCGTTGAAAGCGATTAGTTATTTGAATTTTCATTTCAGTTTATATTTCCTACAGAAACATTTATCCTATATGTAATTTTGAAGGACATCTTGTTTATTTCAAGTATACATATTGATTTGAAAATATTAGTCCTATAGTTATACTCGAGTAAATCAACACCTGAAGATCTACTGTAGTCCGATCTAAGAACTTCGAAACACTGAAGTAAAGAATTCCCAATCCATCTTTTACATTTGAACCGTAAAAGCCCAGAGTGACTATTTCCCTTCACTTTGGATCGCGTACCAGGTTTCTAAGGCGCCCCCTTTTCAATTAAAAGTAATGAAGTGTGACGCGCTATCGATTGCATGCGAAGGCCGAGGCGTGTGTGAGAGGAGGGGCCAGACTGATGGCCACCCCTCTCGGGGACCGAGTGAAGAATGGTACGGGGGAAGCGGAATTATCGGTTCTTATTCCCCTTAGGCCCAGAAAGTTTCTCAACTTCTCTTTTCTTGAATGAAAGAATACCTCCCTTCTACGTGATAGGAGAACGTTCCGTAATCGGGAGCGCATCGCAGAAATCTTCGAATTTGGTAGGATGCCCCTGTCTAAGGAAGGTAATTAGATGATCCGGAATAGGTGATTGTCATCTTTTTTAACCTCGTTCTAGTAATCTTTCATTTCGAGGAGCACTAAAATAGGGAAACTTGATTTGAAAGTTCAGAACTTGTGAGCATTGCAGCAAATTACATGTCATAAAGGAACTATATTACGGCTTGTTATTACGGGGAAGAAATTAAAACGAACTTAACAGGCAGTTTTGAATTTCTTAGAAGTATTACCCCTGAATTTGTTACTAACGACATTAAACTTCTTACTAATAAAAAAAGGAGGATATAAGGACATTAATAAATTAATTATATTACAGCATCATGCTCATAATGATAGATTTTTTTTTTTTTTTTTTAATTATTTTCGTTTTTGATTATTTGCCTGCTCTTAATACTGCTTCTATTTAAAACTGTTTCAAACAACGAACTTCTTACTGTTTCTAAACCCATATGCAAAAATATAAATCGCTGATTTTCAGTTTTACATTGAGAAATATTACACTCATCCGCTATAAATTTCTCACTCTTTTTTTTTTTTTTCGGGGGGGGGGGGGTAGGTTTTATACTCTCATTGACATGGTTGTATCAAAGTTTGTTTCATAATACATATGCATACATTACCTAATTTTATATTTTCAGCTTGAGGTTACGACTGTCTATTGGAAATTTTTAAGATATGCTGTTTTTTTACTTCCTTGTACGAAGTAAAAAGGAAGTATTGTAATCGCGAAAAGTTTCAGGCAGCATATTTCAACGAAAATATCCATTTTGACCTCTATCGAATGAACTTGAACGATGTTTTTGCGTGATGTCTGTACGTAAGGACAGAATAAAAGACTCTTTTCCTCCAAAAAAATTATAAAACTGCTTTAAAATGAATTCTGAAGAGAATATTTCGTGGCGTCTGTACGAACGTATGTACGTACGTACGTATGTATCTCGCATAACTCATAGGCCCACCAGCGGCCGAGCGGTAAAATCGCTGAACACTGGTAGTTCGGTCCGAGGTTCGAATCCCGCGAACGGGCTGGCTGCATGGGCGTTTTCGTGGTTTTCCCCATGTGTAACGTGTATACGAGCCAGTTTCCCTTAGAAAGTCCTCCACGAAGGCATCCCCCCTCTTAGGCAGATAGCCCTCGAGGCTTTGCCATAATCACACACACACACACACACACGCATAACTCATAAACGAGTAGCCTCAGAACGTTGAAATTTTGTATATAGGACTGTTGGACGCTGCTCAAGTGGACTGCCGCCCTTAACTATAGTAAGCCTTACGGTATTTGTTTCCACTTGGCAGATGCTGTCTAATCATGACTCGCTGATCCGACAGCATTTATTATTTCAAAATCTTAGGTTTCATAATCACTCATTATTTTACATAGGTTTTTAGTATCTATAACTTCCTGGTTGTTAACTCAAGTTCTATTTTAACTACTACGCTGCTAACTATACTACACTACTTTAACATGGGCAATGTTGCTATAATTCCTTTACACTACAATACTACTTCAATGTTTTACACTAGACCAACACTACATTTTACACTGAGTACTATACATTGTAACAATATCATATATAATGCAAGACATAGAAGAATATATTAATGCAAGACATAGAGATATCCTATATAAATGCAAGACATATAGTAAACCTGGTTATAAATATAATACGATAATATTAGATCATTTTTCTATCGCACAATTTCGAGTACAATACAATGCCTACGAAACTTTACACTCTAGTACTATAAGCTACAAAAGTACAAACTCGGCTAGAATTGCATTTTACATTGGGTACATTACATTGTGATTCTATTATATATATGTACAAAATTTACAAAATATAAAGCATTAAAGTCGCATAACCTCATACTACTACTTATACAGATATACTGAAAAATTACTGTAAATACAGTAGCTCTATATCTTGATTACAATTCACACTGTACTAGTTAGCCATATTATTGCAAAATTAAGAAATAATATACAATGTTAATCAAACCATACACTGTTATTCATTATTGATGCAGGTAGGTACCCAAAGATAATACTATAAATGAAAAATGCTAAGGTTAGGTTACAATACACTTTTCAAAACCATTCCTAGTTAGCAAATACAGTGGAACTACCAACAACATGATTTAAACATTGATATTTCAAGCATAAAGCATAATCCAATTTATATTCTGTACTCTAACTTAAAAAAAAAAAAAAAAAAAAAAAAAAAAAAAAAAATTTGGTAACAATAGGTTATGCCTCCATCTATGCTGAGTAAATAAATAAATATAATTCTGCCAATGATGGAATAGAAACAATTCAACAATGATACAGTTATATAACTAGTAATTTTTACAATACGTTTTAATGAATCTTTCAGTTATGAGACTTATTAATTGTAGGATAATCTAAAAGTCACAAAGATGTGTACAATGAAAAATTAAGAATCTATACACCAATGTGGTTAAATCACACAAACATTGAACAGTTCAAGGTTCTGCAATGGTAATAAAGCTAATGTTATGTCATTCACAAGGAAGTCTTTACCCTAAGATGATCCTTTAATTGTGAGCGTACAAGGTACAGATGTGTGCAGTAATTGTCAATTATTCTGAAGTGTTCGCTCTGTTTATGCCTGCATGACTCTGTGCACAGTACTTTAATACCTCATTCAATTTGCGTTTAGCAATACTATTCTTGCAGATTGTTTTCTGCCCATTGTGGCCAAAATAAATCACTTGGTCTCCTCAGGTGATAAGGTTTGGTGGATGCACAATGGAAGAGATAGTGATCTGGATCACCTACCTCTCCACATTCACAGAATTCTGTTCCGCTTAAGTGGAACCTCTTTAAATAGGTAGGGAATGGTCCATGTCCAGAAAAAAAGTGGGTCTGTGCACCGTTCGTGACTTTTGCTACAGTTCCCACTTTTGGAAAAAAAGAGTAGGTCCTTCTACCCGTGGGTGCTGAGTCCCACCTTTCCTGCCACTGGCATAATAAATTTTCAAGAGTACTTCTCTTGAGATAAGAGTTGGGAGTTTTACAAGATATTCTCTCAGGCTTTTATCATTTGCTGCCGATTTGGCAATCTCATCTGCCTTTTCATTGCCTGTGATGCCCATTTGAGCTGGGACCTAGACCAAGTGTGGACGTAAGGAGGGAGGGCAATGCAAAAGAATTTTTTTGAGCTCTTGTACATAAGAGCTCCTGCTTTTATTTCCTCTAATCGCTGCCAGGCTAGAGGCCGAGTCACTGAAGATTGTTGCTCTAAATCTAAGTGAATAAACTGCAAATTTAATTGCTGCTTTTAGCTCTGCAACCTCTGTCTGAAAGACTGTATTTCTAATATCTAGTCTTCTTTTCCATGTTTTAATAATAGTCTCCCCTTGTAAAGCGCAAAATGCACTACCGGCGCCTCGCTCTGGTTTGGATCCATCCCTGTAGAGGCTGAAGCTGTTCTTTTTTGAAGATGCGTACACAAGTTGGATGCTATCGGACAAGTCTATGTCTGCGGGGTGCCCTAAAAGAACTGGTTTGTGCTTTTCATAATCTGTGTGATAATAGTTATGATTCCATAATGTTGCATTCTCATCTAGTCTCAGCACTCTTTTCAATAGGGATTCCCGTTCTGCTTGTAAGTCTAATGGTGGTATACCAGCAAGCACTTGAAATGCTGCTGTAGAAGTGGTTCTGTATCCTCTGCATATCAGTAATAATTGCATTCTTTGTATTGTGAGCATTAGTTTACTCATATGTGAGGAGATATTTTTCCTCCAAATTGCTGCACCATACAAGATAATCCTCTCGGATATAGTACGATACCAACTTCTCAGAATATTGGCTGGCGTTCCCCACTGTATTCTTGCTGTTTTGAGCATGTTATTTGTAAGGCTGTTTATTTTCTGTTTCACCTCCTTCAGGTGTGGAACCCAAGATAATTTATTATTAAAAGTCAGTCCCAAGTACTTCAGATTAGGCGCGCATTTGATCGGTATACCGTTCATTTTAATGGACGGATTTCTTTTTGGAATACCTTTCCTACCTATGTAGAGCAATTGGGTCTTCGTTGCAGAGATGATCAGTTTTTGACTCTTGGCCCAGGCTGCAAAGTCGTCGACTGCCTTTTGCGCCTTTGGTACCACGTCGTTCCTGCTAGTAATGACTGCTATAGCATGCAAATGTGCATCTCGTGTTTTGGTTGCAATCCGCCGTACGAAAATATATGTATATATATATATGTTACCCGGCTCAGTGATCTCAGTTTCTCTACTCTTATATGTTTCTAAATTGTACATTTTTTGCTTTAAAAATGATTGAATTATGTTGTTCTTATCTTCCGTTTAAGGTTTTTATGCCTTTAGTAAATCTGTATGCAATATTTTTAGAATTGTCAACAATTTTAAAGTTATTTAAGTGCCGCTAATCCTAATAATGTTTTTGATGGCGGCCATTGCTTGTTTACATTTGAAACAGCAGAATAGTGGATTTGTTGCCAATCTACAGAAATTTAGCTTGAAAGCATGAGGTAATATTCCGTGCGTATGGAATCAAAAAGGGAGCCGTCTGAACAGCTGCTAAGATATGCGCAATGAAATGGTGGATTTCTAGCAGCACAAACGTTCTATGAACATAAAAAAGCTGCCAGTCCGAAGACCTCATTAAATCATTCAAACGGTAATAGTGACGTGCGGTGTGTACAAAGGGCAGCGACATAATCAATACGAGCTTATGACTCGTGCTTACTGGGAATTCCTCGTTCAAGGAAAATAATTACAAGCCCCTATCCCCAACACGAAGGAGGTTCAACGGGTTACCCAGTCCTGTCGGGCAGGGAAAGCACACGCTGATTCCTTCAATAAAGCGCGCATGCGGCCCCAGACATCTAAGGAAGTATCGATGCAATTTTTAAACACAAGAACGCAAATTTTCTGCCATTTGGATGCCATACAAGAATTATTACAGCTGGTTGAAGGCCATAATTTTTGGTGTTATTTGAGAAACAAAAGAGAAGCGTAGGATTAGAGAGTTTTAAGAATGACATGTAATCTTAAGGAAATCTGAAATGGAACTCTGATTTAAAATATTTTCAATACATGACCATTCAAGACTTTGAAATACCGTCAATCAAAATTTGCTTTCAGAAGTTGGTCGTATGGAAAGAAGGGTTGGAGATTCAGATTCCTGGTGTCATCCATCTCCATCAAAAACGAAAAAGTCCCTTATAAAATGCCCAAAGTCTTGGCCATCAGCAGGTAATCTCTTTCATCTTATTATGTTGAATTTAGTGGGCTTTGTTAATATCCTTTCATAATAGGAGGACATGCAAAAATAACAGCAACAACTCTGGTAGTTAAAATAGTTTTCTGCTTTTTGAGAACGAATTGGGGGTGTGGGCGTCTTCATGTCTAAAGTGAATACTAGATAGTTTCCGTTAGGAATCGCTCTACGAAAGCAATTACCTCCTTAGGGCGATTATTCATCTGCTCTTAGTGATAATCAATCAAACAACAAACAATAATTTATTATTTTGAAAAAGATGAAGTTTCTCATTTATAACCTTCAGGAACACTGCTCATACACAAATATGAAAATACGAACGTCAAGCATCCGAGTTAGGACATTAATATTCCTGTATTAAATTGAATTAATCTGTAGATAGGATTTTTAATAAGCATATTACACGGTATGTTTTCCACAAAAATCTTTCAAAGCATGTCGTATTAAAGCTGGTTTTAATTCTTATAAATTATGTGATTTGTTTCATACTTCGTCAGTAGTCTTCTTCCGCTTGCCGCTGAAAGCCGTCTTTAAGCGGTTGAGTCGGAGTAACTGTTAAGAACACACTTTATCTTCCGTAAGAAGCATTTTCATTTTCTCAGATGAATCCACGCATAACGAGAGATTCCTTAGCGCACAGGTCCAGAGATGAGGGCTAATCCATCACGCTAATCACGAGATATTTTGCCAAGTATTTTTTCCTCCTACTTTCTCTTCCATTTCCTTGGCGATGAATCATATAGTTGGCTGAGCAGAGATATTAAAGTTAGCATTTTTTTCACGCCTACCTTAATTAACTTATCAGCAGAGTTGAAGATAATGAAGCCAGCAAGCACCTTTTCTTCACTCTCCTGCATGTAGTTCTGTCTCGAGTACTGTTGAGAGAAAATGAATCATGAGGACTACGGTTATGATCAAAGATATGTGAGGAAGAATTTTATTCTTACCCAGGGAATGTGATGAGTAACTAGCAAGGGCATTCGGAAATAAAATTCTTCCAACAAAATTAAGTATTAACAAGGATGTTATTTACTTACCTGTGCTTTCTGGAATCTTAAACAAAATTTACCTGCACGACTTATACATTATTATGAATTTAAGATCTACATTCTGGAATATTTGTCTAGGGAGTTAAATGAATTAAAACTTAAGGATATATTTAATTCAAATTTTCTTAAAGTCAACTTAAAATAAAGTGGTTATGTGTTATTAAAGTACACATTGTTGACCATTTGTGAGTTTTTGTATTCTAAAATTCTAAAGTATACTCGAAATTTGATTTTGAAGAAGTTCTTTTAAGTCTTTGTTTCTTATTTCCCCAAAGACAGTGAGTGACCATTGACTGTATATCTATCATTTTGAGAGATCACTTTCTAAAGTTGTAAAAAATCCCTTGTTTGTTAATTATATTTTGGAAACTTGTAATGTATTATTCTTAAATTAAAGAATAATACCTCCTAATTCGAAATACGTTCAAATAAGACCCTTTAAATATTAGAACTCCAAGAAATGGGTGCAAAGATCATACATGTTTTGTGACAATTATTGTAAAATTTTTGTTTTAAATTGTAATTAAAATAGGTTCACAAATATTTATATCCACAAAATAAACAAATTATTTTAACTATTCACGCATAATGATTTTCCTAAAAATTCAGACTAATTATATGCAAATATTTTCATCTTGATGAAAATGTTAATCAAGAACTTGCCATGCAGATAAAGCAAAAATTTCCAAATAATTGTAATTATTTTGATGATGTGAGAATTGTCTCACAAATGAAACATCGTTAAACATATACTGTAAGAAATTATTGGTGGTGTTAGGAATAATAATGGAAGAATAAGGTCTCTTGACACGCTTTCTCAAACTATGACCTAAATTTAGCACGAAACATGACGATTTATCTGGGCAAAACTATTTTTATTGAGCTTAATTAAGGTAGTTTATCTTTTAACAATATACTGACTAGAGATTAGTGTAAGACTGGCAATATCTATGACCCAAGGTGGATCATGAAAAGATAGCCTGATTCCAATAATGATATGACAATTTATACACTACCTTTCTGCTTAGAAGGAGTGAATGGGAAGACAAAATATAATTTGAATTTTGTTTTATTTGGCGACGGAAAATCGCCATGTTGATGGATACTTAGCAGACACAAAGCAAGGTAGTACGAGGCATGTATTCAGAAATTATAATCTCTTTTTCACACTTACTTCCTATTAAAATAGAATTTTATGACATAAAAAGAATTTTTTGCTTTAATTTTGATTTAGTTTCATAAAAGAAGTGCTCGAATCCCTTTTATTTAAGAACTCGAGTTAGAATTAGGAGTTATCTAAACAACTGAGCGTACAAAAGTCCGGTTCTAGCACAGTTTAAGCTCTATGTATTTGTAGGATTAGATTATTGATTGAATAGCAAGCTGCATTAGGACTCTATTTTAATAGCAGGTAAGTCAGAGTGAGTCTTTTCTTCTGAGGGTGATAACGTCATTGACATCTTTCTAAGGATGTCAATGAGTTCTAAGGATCCTTCTAAGGTAAACGGCGTCTATACTCTTTTCTTAAGAAAAGACTACAAAATCTCCTATGCAGTCAGCCCGTTTATCGGGTGTTATAAATTGATAGTTTGCGCCGTTAGGTGGCTCTCCGAACGTCTTGTCTCTGTTCATATTCTGTAACTTAGTTTTAGTTTGATGGAAGAACGAAGGTGTTAAGCCTAATAACGATGAAGGCGTATGACTAATAATAATGCCTGTAGCCATTGTATTATATTGTAAATAAAATGTGTGTGTATTAATAACGAAACGGAATATTCACTTACCTCTGGAACTAATGCTTTCTGATTGCAACCGGAATTAGTTACTACATCGGGTTTTAATCTGAATTTGAAACATTATTGTACAGTGTTCTTACCATTTAGCTATTGGTGGGAAAATTCGTCTGCAAAATTATGAATTATATTTTTATACAATGAGACAGAAAAAAGCGCATGATGCATTATTAAGTCATCACGAATGCTTTATTTGCTTCATACACTGAATAAAATTATGATTTTGCTTTAACCGCCATAAGAAATCAGAGAAATGGTAAGATATAAACATACTTGAGACATAGACATGACTATTCTTTTAGAGCTATACAGAATGTTTACTTGAATGAAAAGTCAAAAATATTCGAAGAAGTTTTTAATTTTAATTAATTTCAGTACTGGCACAGATGAACTCCGAATGCAATACATTTTTCGAACAGTCTCAGTCCCTCCAAAGAACTAAAATTAATTTGCGTTATTCATTCCAGACATAAACGACGCTTTACACTTTTGACGTTGATTCAATTCTTTCCCGAACGTGGGACATTTTGACAAAAGAACAGCGATGTTTAACTCAATTAGAAGGGAGCATTTATACTAAGAACAACACCTTTCGCTTCATCCATGCCAGCTCCAAGATTTCATTTTAAAGTGTTGATATTAAATGCATAAGATAACTCCGTAGAATCTTTTTTCTCCCCTTTTCGTTAAATTCCCCGCTTCTGACATTAGTTGGCTCAAGGCCAGCTTGGCCTATTGCCAACTTTTGCTAGACGTTGACCTGTATAAATATATGTGCATATAGATATACCAGATGTATATATAGATATATAAGTAGTGCTGCCAAAATCCCGTGTTGCTTTTTCTACCTTAAGTTCCTAAGATCTCCGAGCAAAGTTCGGATTG